AAAAAGGGGGGAGGGTTTGGGGTGGGGGAGGGGCACTCACCATGTAGGGGGAGGGGCCAAAAGCCGGCGGGGGAGGGGAGGGCGAGCGGCGCCTGTGGGGGGAGGGGAGCGCGTTGGCCACGCCCACTTTGGGGAGGCCATCTTGGATTTCGACCTCCAAGATGGCGGACATCTTGAATTTTGCCCACCATCATGGCTGCCATCTTAGATTTGAAATTCATCATGGCCGCCGTCTTGGATTTTGGCCGCCATCATAGCTGCCATCTTGGATTTTGGCCTCCATTGTGGCTGCCATCTTGGATTTGACATCCATCATGGCTGCCATCTTGGATTTTGGCCGCCATCATAGCCGCCATCTTGGATTTTGGCCTCCATGATGGCCGCCATCTTCAATCCTACCCATGCAGATGCCCCACCCACTTAAAAGCATGGCCACGCTCACCCCCAGTGGCTGCCATCTTGGATTCCCCACCTTCCCTATGGGGGTGGCCACATTGAAGACACGCCCACTTCCGGCAGCCATTTTAAAAAGGGGGGAGGGTTTGGGGTGGGGGAGGGGCACTCACCATGTAGGGGGAGGGGCCAAAAGCCGGCGGGGGAGGGGAGGGCGAGCGGCGCCTGTGGGGGGAGGGGAGCGCGTTGGCCACGCCCACTTTGGGGAGGCCATCTTGGATTTCGACCTCCAAGATGGCGGACATCTTGAATTTTGCCCACCATCATGGCGGCCATCTTGGATTTTGGCCTCCATCATGGCTGCCATCTTGGATTTTGGCCGCCATCATAGCTGCCATCTTGGATTTTGGCCTCCATGATGGCCGCCATCTTGAATCCTACCCATGCAGATGCCCCACGCACTTAAAAGCATGGCCACGCCCACCCCCAGTGGCTGCCATCTTGGATTCCCCACCTTCCCTATGGGGGTGGCCACATTGAAGACACGCCCACTTCCGGCAGCCATTTTGAAGCCTTCCCAAAAGCGTGGCGGCCATTTTGAAACTGCCTGAAGCTTTGGGCCACACCCACAAAAGGGAGTGGCCATCTCCAAGCCCCACCCACTCTCGACAGCCATTTTAAAGCCCCGCCCACTCCCGGCAGCCATCTTGCACCCCCACCCATCTCAAGACCCGCCATTTTGAACCCCACCCAATCCTCGGGCGGCCATTTTGAAGCCCTGCCCACATCGGCTGTTACCTCAAAGCCACGCCCACCCCCCGGCCGCCATCTTGTCCCCCCTTAACCCCTTGCTGACCTCTTGGCGGGCGTTGGCTCCGCCCCCTTGGCGCCGTCCCCGTCGCTGTTGTCGGACGACGCCGTCGCCTCTGAGTCTGGGAAGGGGGAGGAGCCAATCAGAGGGGAGGGGCGGGGCCAGACCTGGGAGTGACGGTTGGCCACGCCCCCCCGGTACCTGAGGAATCATCGTCGACGTTTTCGTACTGGAGGAGGCGGTCCAGGAGGAAACTGGGGGGAAAAGAGGGAAATTGGGGAAACTGAGGAAAAATGAGATTGAAAAGGAAAATAAGGAAAAAAATTGAAGTAAAAAATGAAAAGAAGGGTAAAAACTAAAATATAAAATGAAAATAAGAATAAAAATTAAAATAAAAATTAAAATAACAATAAAAAATTAAAAAAAAAATGAAAATAAAAACAAAA